AGTCAAGAACAAGTTGGGAAACTGCCATGACTTTCAAACGCTGGAGTTTCGAATAATTTGTGGCTCTTGAAGAGCACCCTCTAGTGCTTAGGAGGGTTTGCGTTTTGCTGTTTGTTCATTAGCGCACACACACACCAGATCAGATGAGTGTAAATGATGGCATCCTACCAGAAGAACCCCTAATGGCCTCTGCTGGGACATGTAATCAAACGCCTCGCGCACTTCTCTCCCTTTTGTAATCAAGCGGCGGAGCACATGTTGTGACGACCTTTGTTATAACGCTGCCTGTTCCCTCGTCTCATCAAAATTCCGTGCGCCTCTCATTTTTCATCCTTCTCTCCTCCCACCGGGGACTGCGAGATGCCGCGGCGCTCTCTACAGAGCAGAGGGGGAGTGTGTCTTGGTACGCCRTGACCTCTGACCCCCTCCCCTCTCATTCCCTTACATTTTCCAGCCAACCTTTGCTGAGATGCTGCCGCTAATAAAAGACTTTGTTTCGACACACAGAATCGAAGTGTCCTTTCGCACGTGGAGCGCGGATTGTCTGTTTCAACGAACTTCGCGAAACACGAGCACACTGTATCGCAACATATCTGCTACGCAAGTGCCGGATAAGGCGACACAGTGACAAGCTCTTATCAGCAGCTATCACAGARATCCTTCTCAGACACCCCAGGTCACATTAACACTAGAAGAAGTACTYGTCTCTTGTCTCATCTTCACTGCTGGGCTGACGCAGGAGGAGGATGAGGGCGATAACCCACACAAACAATACAAGCTCGTTGGCTTCTTGCCTGCTGACAGCATGCTTGCCTTGCAAAGAGATCTGATTACAACCGAGAGCAGCTTGGTGTTTCATGGAAAAGCAGGTCAACTGTAGAGCACTGTCAGACCTTGGGAGTTGCTCGCCTGATAGACAACAAGGAACAGTTAACTGACAAGGTAAGGTAGAAAGAGAAGTTTCTAACCAGATGTAGAGTAATTGGCTTGATTTGCTCTCCAGTTTGGAACAGACAAGAGTAATAAAAGAAGCAAAATCACGTTGCATACATTTCTATGGAACAGTGTTGTCTGGTGATCCTTTTCCGTCTGATTTCCAACCCCTTCTTCCTCCGGCTCGCTCACAGGGGACGGAGCTGGGCCACTGCAAACACCTAAACTCCTTATGTTTTTTCTGTCCTCGCTGTTCGAGTCAGACAAAACGCAAAATCAATAATGCTTTTTCTCCCCCATTTCCTCTTTGATGCAACTTCAAAAAGCCAATGGACAGCCCTCTGGAGGCTCACAGAGAGAAGGAAAAAAAAATAAAACAGACGATGATAAGAAAAAACATGCTCAGAATGAAAGTACAGGGGAAAAACTTTACCCTTCACTCTCTTAAACCACTGTTAACTTCAAAACCACAAGTGGCAAAGCATCTGAAGGTAAAAGCATCACAGAGGAAATGTCGGTTGYTTTCTTATTAGGTTCGACTGCATCGAAACATTATACAGAATAAAGCTGATCTACAGTGAACTGGTTGTGAGCAGATCTTTAAAATAAAACCACTTCGATCTAAAGCATGCAGTCTTTGAACAAGAGCTGTAAAATAGCCCATCTATATTCACTGTGCATCTTCAACAGAAGAAGCTACAGGGAAGGGGGGGGGGGGGTAAAAATGGACTGTGGTGAACGATTATCTAACCAGTGCTGACAGAAGAAGTATTCAATCAGCAGTTAAATGCTGCATGACAGGGAGACACTTCAAAGGATCTGTAAAGTGACTCCTGAAATACTGACTGAAAGTAAAGTAGGAAATTACCCTTAAGTTAGAGGCATTTGACTAAGCCCAGCTAGGTGTTTTACCTGACTGGAGAGCCAAATTGAGAACCCTGAGTGAACTTGAGAGTGAATGTTTCTAGAATGAAGAAAAATCATCTCGTGAAAACCCGATGGAAACTCGGCTGCTTCTTGCTGAGCCGCTGCCTGGCTGGCCACATAGCGGGGAGAGTCGTTTAACCTTGCCTGTGATGGGAACAAATCTGTCAAAACCGCAGAGTATGACTGACRAGACAAGACGACTGACAGAGCTGTCTGCCTGATAAAGGTTCGCGAGTTATAAACTCTTCCCAGGTTTTTTTATTTTTTTGTTTCTGTAACGATGGGGACAATCAGATAGGAAAGAATAAAAAATCCCATAGTAATCAACACTGTTGTAGTGAAACTTTCAAAACAAGCAAATTTGTTTGATTTAGTGAATTTTATTGGCAGTTATGTTTTTATTAAATTGTAATAAGTTCCATTTTGACGAATCCAAAGTCCTCATCATGTGATTATTTTAATTATCACAGATTCTAAGAATTATGACATGTTAGTTGACATTCAAAATATTAATATTAGAAGTATTTATAAAATGTATAACTTAATTCACAATACTGAACAGCCTTAAGCCAAAAAGGTAATACAGTAAATCATATCGGTTTCAGAAATAAGTGCTTATCATTTGGCTGCTCTCCTCTCCAGAGTGCAGCTCGCCCTCTTCCCAACTTCTCTGCCGCCAAATCAAAAATCCATGCTCTCAATGGGCAGCCAATATCTCATTAAGCAGCCCCTCTACACACAGTTAGGCAGCCAGGATGTTTGTCTCAGTGTGCACAGCTCAGACAGGCACATCTCACACTCCTTAATAACCTGTAGGGACACAGCCCACCCCCTCAGTCAGCCAGGAAGGGGCGAACGATGGCTGAAGCAGTTCGGCCTTTCGTTTGATCTGGTGRCTCTGGAAAGTCTTTCTCCTGCACTGGTTATTTATTCATTATTTAATGGTAATGTAGCATGTTAATTAGCTTTAAAACATGTAAATACATGCAGAAATTGTGACTTCTACAACTGCAATTTGCATTGCACTTCTTATTTTAAGCAAAATTCCTATTATGGGCATGTTTTTCTTCCTATTAATTTAAAACTGAAAACAATCTTTTTAAATCAGCCTTTAAATCCCTGTAGGTGACCAGAGCTATTTTTGTCTTCAACCTAATCAGTTGATTTTTTTTTCCTTTCCCTTTTGGTCTTACAGGACCTCAGTCTCTAACCGGATGATAGCCAATCTTGTTAACCTCTGCTGTAATGTGCGAGAGCCTGCAGCACGAGGTGGAGCGGCACTTCAACTGGCCATTGATAGAAAGAGACAAAGAGTGGCAAATCTACAGCAAATATTTACAGCCTTGTTAACAAAGCCTTAAAGCACCTATCACAAGTTATTTGGCTTCATCTCCTCCAGGGCCCCCCAGAACATTTTTCACAGTCTAGTACACACTCACGCTAAATCACATATCTATGTGCTTCCTGTCTACACGCACCGCAGAGGCTCACTAAGCCTGGCTTTCATCAATTTTGTATGTTCATTGCCACAGAAAGGGACTTTTTTTCAAGGGTTAATTATATGTACTCTGAATAAGGAGCACTTTTTACCTTTTCTATCCACACATCAAACAACTTTCTTTAATGATGTAATTGGAATTTTCATCTTAATTGTGCTGAGTAGGRTGGCTAATTTGCATGGGGTAATGAGAGGGATGTTTCCATTACAGGTAATTAGGTACTTGAGAGGCAGTGGTGTGGTAGAGAGGCTGAACTGAGAGGGAGAGGTGGATAGATGGGGGTGCTGTGCAGAGACAAAGCCACGGAGACTTATAGAGACAGTTGTTATAATATATTAGCATTATTTTGAAGTTAAGAGGATAAAAACAAGCTTAAAATGCACCCCCTCTTTCAAAAAAAATTTAAAAATAAAAAAATAGAGGCTCTGCCAGGATGATTGGGCCAAAAAATATTTACATAATAAGTAAGTTTGTGCCAGGGCGGCAAGTCATTGTGCAGCTCAGCCAATTCACTGATCATTTTCCAGAAGAAATAGCTCCTGCCACATAAATGAGGTTCCAATTATACGGCTTGTTCACGATTTAATTTCATTTTTGCGCGATGTCACCGAATCCTGTCACGACACCGTGCGACCTCTGTGAAACTGAAAGTAACAATGTGGGCAAAGGAAGAATGAAACGGAGACAGAAAAGCTGGAAAATGAGCAGACAGGGACACATTCACTGAGACTGGGGTTTCTACTGATGATTAAAGTGTAAAAAAAGAAAAAACAAAAAAGAAAAAGAAAGTCTCATCTAAATGAATTTCTCTAAATCAAATTAACTTACTTACTTAAAGCTTTGTTTTTTGTTAAGTAAAAACACATTTACACTCACTATTATTTAAAAAAACATTTTTATGCATAAAAATTAGTAACTTAATAAAGCCCTTCATAAAGTAATATATTGCATTTTTTAAATAAAAGACATCGGATCAGAAGGTGGTTTCAAAATGTATCTGACTGATTCTTTTTTTACCAGGTTTGACACGTAAGACTTTCAGCATCATTTCATCAATTCTTAATTATCGTCCATAAAAACATCAAAACATAGACATAACTGCAGGTCAGAATTGTAGCCTTTTATCAACCCTTTGCAATGTAAAAACATAAAAATTAATTAAGATAACTTCAAAGAGATATTGTAATTGATATGACTTTTTTTTCCCCAAAAGCATTTTCCCGTAAAAGAAGTTACTTATTTTTAAAAAAGGATTTGGTTTTTAAAACGTCCTATTACTCTTGTCGAACATGATAAAAACCAAAGGTGTAAAAAAATGATTTGAAAAGCTGGGCAGAGTCAGCTAAATTGACTTCTTGTTATATTTCTCCTGCAGAAAGTGACAGTTTTCTTGTGGCTGCTGATTTGATCAGATCAGATCATGAGCACACAGCTAAACACCAGGATGGCTGCTCACTTCTGAAAACCGGGAGAATGAATTTATATGAGGAGAAAAAAAATAATACATCACTATAGGCATGTGCAAGCATGCATAAGAGAAGTGTGTGCTGTAGCCATACAGTGAGTGTGTCAGGATGTTGTTTACTCCGGGCGGAAGGAGGGGGTGAATAAAGCATGCACTTATTATTGTTCCGCTCTTACCTTTCATAGCTGAAATCACAAAATACATCATTAGGCTTCGAGTCCATAAGAGGAGAAACTATCAGCAGCGCAAAGCCCTCCACTGCTGTCTCAGCAGCAGCTGGCCAGCACAGCTCTGCCTCTCAGCCTCCGAGCATGACCACACCAGAATCCATGTGACTGTGACATCAGCGCTCATGTCTGCCTGCTTCCCCCTCCCACCGGCCTTTGATTGGCACAGCATGCAGCCAGTAGGGGCGCTGAGAGCCCAGGCAGGGAAGCTGGCTCTCTTCCCACTGATTACAGTCTTGTGTTACTGGCTTGCTAGACACATCACCAGCCTCCAACTATCCTCTCTCTCTCTCTCTCTCTCTCTCTCTCTCTCTCTCTCTCTC